AATAATGATAAACAATCCAAGAACAAACTTGCATACTTAGACCAGAAGCCAAACCACCGTCTTGACAGCACTGCGTAAACTTTTCAAATTATTAGAAAGGCATAATCTCCATGAACAGAAAGAAGCAGAAAAAAATTTTGGAGCCATGACTAAAATAAAGTGATTCATTTGCAACAAGAAAGCCATACAAAATGGGGAGAAACTTGCAGCATTTACATACCAGCTCAAGGCTGTATGCATAATAAATGTTTTTACTACCAGCAAAGAGGAAATTGGCTGACAATCATAGTGGCTTTCCGCAGGTGACTATCGGATGTTTACTTGTACCAGGTGTATATAGTAAGTTGCAGAGAGGAGACTATGTGGCAACTTCCTCATCATTTTCGCACAGAATTTCCTACAGTCTTTTTAATCTTTATTAGGTATTATATATCGGTAATTATGGGGTTTTTTTCAGAGCTTAATTCAAATATACTGGTGCCAGTTTTAATCCTTCTAGTAGCTGCAATAGATCTGAGCTCTAATTTCTAACACTTACATCTGACTTACGCATGAACTACTTTCAAACAACTCCTATTTGTATGAAAAGCAGTGAAGGACTTCTGACCAGCCCAGAGACCATCACAGCCAGGTAAGTCCAACAGTAGTAGTAGAGAGACAAATAACAGGTCTACACTAAAATAAGCAGTATTTAAGAAGATTTCCTTCTCCTCGGCCCCAGACAAAAAGGTTGTATGTCGTCCAATATTTACAATTTGACAAATTAGCAGGTCCACAATTCTTTGGAAAAGGGACAGGAAAGCATACATCATAAAACCAAAAAAGATCCTGTAATGTGAAAATATTTAAGTTCTTCCACTTAACAGTATTTTAAAAAAATGTCTATATGAAAGTCTTTGAAAATTGTGTGCCCCACAGGGCATGTTATTCTCCCATATACTGAACAACAGGAATTTTATTCTCATTTTTATCCACAAAACCCCTTCAGCCTGAAAATCTATCAAGAAGCTGAACTGAAGAGGGACTGTAC